CATGGTACATGAGGAACAACATTTTGAAATTAAAGATATCCTTGATCCGCGCACTCACCGTGGATCCACACAATATTTTGTAGCTTGGAAACACCTTCCTTCCTCAGAAAATGAGTGGGTAGCCAAACGACACGTAAAAGCACCCACATTACTATGAAAGTTCCACCTAAAATACCCTGATAAACCATCCTAAACTGCAAACATAATGCATGATTTTTGTTTTTTCCAGGTAGACCGATCTGTTTTTAAGGAGGGCAGGATGTCAGATCCGTGTATCTGTCATTTCTTCAATGGAAGAAGAAAAGGGGGGGTGGGGGTGGAGAGACTGATAAAGAAATCCTTCTTGATGTAACCTGAACATATTTAATCTTATATCGAATTTGTATAACCTACACATGATACAATGGAGGGATGAAACCCAGATGGCCGGAACCTATCACCTCTGAGAGACAGCCAGGAGATGAAGAGACCATAAAAATTCCACAGTGAGATGTGTCCTGGGAAACTCTGGAAAAGATCGCTCTAAAATGGGGGGGGGGGGGGAATAAACATGTTGGCTATTTGTTTTACTAAATACACATCAAGATAAGGGAGGGGTTTTAAACTCCCTTATCTATCTCTGTATGCCTGAGAGACCTTAGATGCTGCTTTTAACCCCTACATGAATTGTCTCATCTCAATAAAGGATTCCTTTTGATAGAGGTTTTGATATGTTTTCAGAAGTTCATTCTAGTTGGTTGAATGGGAAAAGTTTTGTAGCCTGACAAACTCAGACCTATGGTTACCATGGCATATATGACAACATCCATAAAACCACAAATTAATTTTAGTTTTTGAAGTTAAAGTCAACATTTGCAAGACTTTGCTGTTCCTGTCTAGATTACAGCATTTTAAAAAAAAATTATTTGGGACCACCTTCAGTATTTCTGCAAATGTTTTTACTCCACACATCAAAAGCAATGATTCGATCAGCAAAGTATGTTATAGACCTAGTAAGTGTTATCAGAATTAAGCATCCATTTGGCATTAATTTTTTAACATGTTTACAAAAGTACAACTTTTAAAAAATGAACAAGCAAATATTAAATATTTGCTGAGTTTCTATGTGGAACTGATACTGTAATTGAATCATTTCAATTGTTGTGCATCGTTTACTTAGAATTATATCCACTAGTTCTCTCAGTAAATGCACTTACGATTAAACTTTAATGTTAATATTGGCCAAAATTGCAATTATTACAAACATGCGTTTTTAATTAAAACAGATTTCCTTTTCTATTCAGTGCGGATCCTTTTCAGCAAAATGAGTGTTGCCTCTAAATTATTGTAAACTTCACGGCATAGCGTATTGGTACGGTGTATTACCCAATTTTTCTAAAATTTTCAAAAGTACTGTCACGTCTTGTATTCCAACGCCTTGGTAAGGGGCGAAATTATAATCCAACACTAGAGGTTGCATTGCAATACCTGGTTACAGAAGAATGGTAGTCCGCCCACCCCGGATGACTAACAAATCCTATAACCGTCTCCACCCTTTCATGTTTCATGCCTGTCCCTTGAGTAAGCAAATTTCCATTTCAGGGCATCTTTTCCCAGCAATCACTGGGAACAGCCCTCACCCAAGCCGAAGGAGGCTGGAAGCTGAGTAGGAAGGAGGAGGCGGGCAGTAATTGAGTGCACGATTCAGCCATGATTCAGCAAGCAACAGGGACATGGAGGAAAAGGGGAGGGGGAAATCCAAAGCGAGTCTATCCAATCCCGTCTTGGAGCTACCACGCACGTAACCACTCGTACAGCGCAGACGCAGTACTAACACTACGCAAACGCTTTTTTAGGCAAACTAATGGGCCACCGTACTTCCCGGAAATGAATTGTCAGTGATAAGACAGGCCGCTAGAAGGTCTTTTTGTTTTTCCTTTTTTCCGGTTCCCATAATTTAGGCAATTAGCAGAGATTTAATAAATAAAAAGCCGATCTTTGTTCCCACCTACGCTTTATTGATTGGAGGGTTTTTATAAAATATTACAGAAGACATTTAGCCTTCAATGTGGGGCTGGATCAATGAGGTAAAAATCACAATCGACTTTGCTCCAGGCTTTCTCCTAATAAAAGTTGTGTTTACAAAAAGTAAGCGCAGAATTGGTTTTATTTCCCCAATTTTGTTCGTATGTGCTATAATTTCTTAATATAGTTATTGGCAACTGCGTTGATTATTATAACTACCCAAAGAAATGTTAACAGTTTGCTTTAATCTTTCAAAAGGTTTGAATTAAGTGTTGGAAGAATTATCCTTCTGGGTTCAATTCCAAGTGGGGAAAAAGATACTGGAAACATAGAGACTATTTGGAAAGATGGTTTCATGGTGGATAGGACCACATGGCTTGAAGCTCCGAAGAAGGAAGAGCTAAGATGCTGAGAGTCCCTTGGTTTTATACCCTCTGTTGGGATTTGAATTTGAGCTTGTATTCTGATTGGTTGTCAGACTCCCATGGGGCCATGCAGGGGAAACTCTGTAGGCTCTCTTGAGTGGCAGGTTTGGTTGAGCCTTGCTGGATAATGAAAGGGCTTTGGGTAATTCCTATTATAGCTCTAACTGGAGTAGATCTTTGTTAAGTAAAATAGGTTGGCCCAGGCTAGAGCAATGGCCCATTAGCAAAAGTGTGTGTGTGTGGGGGGGTGAGTTTCTGCTTCTGAGTTGCTACTCTTTAGGGGAAATATTCTGCCTTTTTAATATTTCCTAGGATATTTCAATTTTCTAGGAAAGGGGTGGGTTTTAACTTCCAACAATAGTATGATCAGTTTGTTAAATGCTGAGGTTACAAACGAACTGGAGCACAAGCATTCTCAAAATTCAATATTTAGCATTCCTACTGGTTTTCATTTCTGCGTATCCAACTGGCACTTTCACCAAGATTTCACTTGTTATCATATAGTTTTATGAATGATATATTTTTATATGATTTCCAGAGATAAAATAGCAAATTTCAACTCTACTGGAAATCAGTTTTTGATATATTTAGAAGTACATGACTGTTGCAGGTTGTGAAATTGCAAGGTTTTTAAAAAATAGTTTGGAACGCTGTCCAGTGCCAATATACAGTACAGTATACATTATCTCTATACTACTAAAACTCAGATTCTTGTAACCTTTAATTGGGCAAATGGTGCATCATACGGCAAAACTTTTAAATTGGGGTACTTCAAATGGTCTACATACAAAATGTGTCCAAAATCTGGGACCTTTGACTCTTGTGGAATTAAAATTTGGCAAATTTTATAAGACATTTTGAGATATATTATCAAAAAGCAGTTTATGATATAATACAAAGTCATAAAGCATTTCCTGTGCTGTGAAGTTCATGCTGTACAGTTGAGTGTAAGTTAATTTCAAGGCAAAATACATTTCTGAATGTATCACAATTTTTGCAGGGAAAGCAGTAAATCAGAAGCTCTTGTCTTGTTAAAGGTACTGAGGATTATGGTAGGGCTTCTGAAATTATGACTCAACGGGACACAGGTTGTCTAGTAACATACTACAATTGAAGTAAGCTATGCATTCAAAAACGACCTTGTAAGCATATATCCAAAAGTTCGAATTTTAAAAGGAATTTCTTTTCCCAATATTTTCATCCTGCCCATCCGAAATATCTATCAAACACAGCCTGGAATTCATTGTTTATATATTTGTTATAATTTATTACTGTAAATCAGGGCTCTTCAAATTTGGCAGGTTTGACTTGTGGACTTCAACTCTCAGAATTCCTCCTCTAGTCATGTTAGCTCAGGAATTCTGGGAGTTGAAGTCCACAATTCTTAAACTTGCCAAGTTTGAAGACCCTTGCTGTAAACAGTCCCCGCTTTTGTCTCTTCATAAAAATAGCATGAAAGACAGGCGCTTGAAGTTGCTGCTCGAACGTATGATATGGTCGCGAGTTGCATCATGGGAATTGTAGTCTAAAATGGCTGCGCGTTTCATTCATCTTGTTCTGTCCTAAGTGCACGCATTTTCAGTTCACTTCTTTTAGCGGAAGAAAGCGGGTTCTTGGCTTAAACTTCAGTTCAATGTGACTCGCCTTGATTAAAGAGGGATTTACTTCTGAATAAACACGAGTAAATTGTGCGATAAACTTCGAGAAATGTGATCCTCCAAAGAAGGGAATTCCGGTACTCCCTAAAAGGGCTTTCTCAAGTCTAGTTCTGCAGAGGGTCAAATGATAATCAGCTAACGAAATAATGAAAATGAGTACAGTTGCTGGGAAAGCCGGACCTCACCAGAAAATTAAGGCAGCTTTATCAAGCACCTCTGATGGGGGAGGAGTTTAATTCTCCTAATTCCCAGGTATTTGAGAAAATACTAAGTTGGGAACGGCTGAATTACATTATCCGACTTAACAGAACGGGGGTGAGGGGGGCGCAATAAGGCAAATGTTTGCAAAAATAAAACATGCCCACACACAAATCCCCAAGCATTGTAACGGTCACCATTAGTCTTTCTTTTAATTCAATTAAAAATAAAAGACAAACTTAATTCAGAAGACAGAACTAAGTGCAAGACAGAAAAAGGACAGAGGGGAAAAAAGAGAAAAAATAATTAAAAGAAATGACTTTCGATCTTCAGGACACATTTAGTCATTCTTCCCTCCATTGGGATACTGTAGTGCTACGAGAGAATAACATTTAAAATACTGATGCTGACATAATCGCCCTGTCTGGAAATGCATTAACAGGGCTTTAGTAAACGCCTACTACGAATACCGCTGCAGAAATGTCAGAGTATTGGTCGTGTTTTTTAAAGAATAAACGTGGGGGAAACTCAGAGTGTGAACCACTTTCACGATAACATGCGGGTTATAGAAGTGGGGGGCAGCAGCGGGGAAGAAAATGCTCCCCAAATCAGGGATCCTTCTTTCCTCCTCGTGGAAAGAAGAAATATTAAAACTCCAAGGCTGGGTTTTGACCTTTAAGAGCAGACCTTAGTAATCGCTCCCGGAACTATCCATGACTCTTGCAGGACTGGGCGAAGGGGATTCTCAGCCACGTGGGATCTTCAGATTTGGAGAGGTTGGGTATCCGTTCGCGTGTTGCGTGGCCGCTGTGGAGCTCGCCAGCCGGAATCTTTGTTATGGCACAGCTTCAGGCTCGCTTCTTCACCAACAATACGAAGTAAGTGGGAACGGGAAAGATTTATCGAAGAAGAATCGGAGCTGCAACTTTTCAAGGGTCTCCTTGCGTGGTACCATCACCAATTTAGCATTGGCTCCCTCCCTCTCCTTTTTGCCCGAAAGTGAAAGAATGCTTTTGCCCTCTTCGACTTGAAATTCGAATCAAAGCTAAGATGGAGGCAGGAGGGCATGTCCATCCAAGCAATTTTGGAAAGCGATCTCCAATATCTTATATTGCTTATATGCTTAGAATGGGCCGTTCTTCGTAGCCGGAGAGCTTCTGGGCTTTGCAAATGTATGGTTTTGTAACTAAGCTTTCAATAGTAACTATGGTAGTTGGGTAACTTAAGCAGTTTGTTTTAGAATGGCTATGTAGCCTTTTGTTGGGGAAGCCCAAATGTAATTTAAGTGATTAAAAACCCATCATCCACGATTTCAGGGAGCAACATTATATAGAATAAACTGTATTGGTTGCCGCTTCTTGGAATGGCAATTACCTTATTTGTTTAGCACTGATTGCAATGGAAATATAATTTGAAACAAAAACGGGATTTTGAAGTGATATTTGTTGCAGTTAGCACTAACTTGATAGTACATAACTAACTATATCAGTCTGTACAAAGGAGTTTCGGTGAGCAAGAATTCTTGTTTCCTGATCAGGAAGGAAAATAGACAAGACTCTGTGCCTATACAGTTCCATAGTAAATGGAACCACACCTCCTTCTATCTTGTGGGAAACCTGTTGTATGTAGATGGTGGTGCCTGTTTTGTAAACAAATACTTATGGAAAATTTGCATGATAGAAATAAAAAAGAAATGCTAAAAATTATTAACTCATTTGTAGATTCTGTAGGCGAGTTATGTGAGTGTAACTATGTACTCTAATAAGACCAATGAAATATAATAAAACTTGTATAGGCAGTTTGGTGCCCTCCATACAGTTGTATTTTCTGTTCTTACCAAATTCAGCTTACATGGCTAATGACAAAGAATTATAGAAGCTTTAGTCCAAAACTAATTTGCCTGGAGAATTTGATAGAACTATATAGTTTTGAATGCATGAAAGCTTTCTACCACTAAGGTGCTCATTTCTATTGTACTTGGTTTCTCTGAATTGGTTGTGGCATTGTGGTGCCCTGTGAAGTAGAGTAGCTTTATATAGATTGGGATTTATATCAGGAAGTTATGGTTTTAATATCAACACTAGGATTTGAAAAGCCATGTGAAGCCTGTATCCTTACATTACAGTTGTATTGTGTTTATCATACTGGTTCTCTTAGAATCATATTACTGCAAAGTGTCAATTTTAGACCACTGAATCCAACCACCAACTTAGTATAAGAATTTTACTGAAAACATGTAGGCTGACAGTTGTCAAGACTCTGCTTGAACACATCCAATAAATGTGAATTTTTCCTAACATTGCATTTGCCTTTTTTTTTCAGCCATGTTAAACTGTTGACTTGTATTTGAATTGCAATCCATGCTATTTCAAGATCTTATTTCATCATAAGCACCATTACCAAGCCAAATATTCATCCTTATGTTTGATTTTTCTGTTAAATGTCATTCTATTATTTCATTTCTCTCACCTGAGATTTTTGAATTTTATTTCTTTTGTAGAATAATTAGCAAATTTTTGTGTTGTCTACAAAATTGATTAACATTTCTAACATTTATTCTCATCCAGCATTAAATAAACAAATAAATAATCTCAAACTGATCATTGTGGCACCTGTTTCCAATTTAGTGAGGAAAGTTGATGAACATTTACCGTGTTTCTCACAAAATAAGGCTGGGCCTTACTTTTTTTTTGAGCCCCGAAAAAACGGCTAGGATGTCTTTTCGGGGGTGAATTAATTTCTCCCCCCCCCCCCGCGCACCAGCGCCATCTCCAACAACAGCGTCTGAGTCGCTCCCGTTTTCCCCTGTCCCCGTAACAACAGGGGAAAAAAGATTTTGAGGTACCTAGGAGCGCCGCGCACTGCGTTTTGGTTTAATCCCGAGCGGCTGGGTGGGCGTGAGAAGAGCTGAGCAAGCGTCTCTGCTGCTGCTACCCTTGATGTTCCAGCCTCGGGCTCTGCAAGTTTGCAAAAGTCCCGGTGCGCAGCCCGTTCCTGCATTCCAAGTGCCCAGGCTGAGCTGCAGCTGTCCCTCTCTCGCCAGCACCATCTCCAATAACAGCTCAGTAGCGGTGGGAACCGTGAAAGTGTTTTAGTCGCTTTTCGGGTGGGGGGACTGCCTCTGTAACTTCCACGGTTCCTGCCGCTGCTGCCGCTGTTATTGGAGATGGCACTGGCGAGAGAGGGACAGCTGCAGCTCAGTCTGGGCGCTTGGAATGCAGGAACAGGCTGCGCACCGGGACTTTTGCAAACTTGCAGAGCCTGAGGCTGGAGCATCAAGGGTAGCAGCAGCAGAGACGCTCGCTCGGCTCTTCTCACGCCCACCCAGCCACTCGGGATTAAACCAAATCGCAGCGCACGGCGCTCCCAAAATCTTTTTTTTCCTATTGTTATGGGGACAGGGGAAAAGCGGGAGCAACTCAGACGCTGTTGTTGGAGACAGCACTGGCGAGAGAGGCACCAGCACCGGTGGGAACTCTGGTAGCTACGTAGGCCTGAGAAGTGGCTGAAACGCTGCTGGACATCCACGCCAACACCGCCCGCCTGCTGACCCGGGTAAGGGAAGGGCAAGGGAGCCCTCCATGCTCCACCATGGTGTTAGGAGTAGCTGATGGTGATGCGTACCTGCCCGCGGGGCACTCCTAATGACAAGTTTCCCCCCCCTGCATTTCCCCCCCCAATTTTGCATATTTTAAACTAGGCCTAAATTTGGGGGGGAGGGGCTTAATTTCATTTTATGCCTAGAAAACAGGCTCGGTCTTCCTATGGGGGGGCACGTATTGTTGGAGAAACACGGTATAGAGTACAACTTTCAAGCATGGTACTTTTTGTACCTGCTGATATTTCATCCGAACCCCTGGCTTACTAACCTTTCTCAATTCCTTTCCTAAAATTGAGATATAATACTGAATTTCCACACAAAGTGTGAGATAAGAACTAATCTTATTTAAATTATTCTTTATGCTAACTTACGAAAAGTCCTATACTTATTCTGTCGTTTCTAAGATCAATATCTTTATAATCTGTACTGGAATCTTTCTAGGTATCAATTCCAGACTGATTGATTTATAGCAGGGATCGCCAACCTTTTGGACTTAAGGGACCACCAAACTCATAATTTTAAATCCCTCAGACTACTAATAGGAATTTTGACTGATGGTGACTTGCTGATGGTGGGAAAGTCAGTCCCATATTCCAGAGCTACAGTAGTCACAAGTCTGGCCCTTTGGTTATGCCGGAGCTGCTCCGGGATGACCAAAGAGCCAGTCCTGTGACTACTGCAGCTCTGGAATGTGGGCCTGACTTTACCACCAACTTCAGCAAGCCACCCCAGGGCGGATTTTCCTCCCCCACCATTGGTCTTACCTTCTACCGTGTTTCTTAGAAAATAAGGCAGGCGCCCCTGAATAAGGCAGCCCGACCCCCGGGCCGCTTCTTTCATGGCCAAAAAGAGCAAGTGACGTGACTCACCTGGCTCCCTGCCAGCCAAGCACTGAAGCTCCACCACTGCCGCTGGTTGTGGGGGGAGAGAGATCCGATCTAACCTTGGAGGGCTGGTGGTGATGTCTCTCTCTCTCTCTCTCTCTCTCTCTCACACACACACACACACACACACACACACACGTCCCTCACACACACACCCTCCAAGGCAGCCACGTTCCTTCCACTAACCTGCTTTTCAGCTCCGTTCTCGGGAAGAGAGAGTGAGAGAGCAAGTATCCTGCAATCCCAAATAAAGAACGATCGATCGGTAGGAAAATGGGGTGAGGAATTTTCCTGCAGAGTTTTTTGGAGATTTCCCTGGGTGTCTGCTGCTTCTGCTTTTTCTGAAGAGACTCTGGGAAAATCCCAATAAAAGTCTGCAGGAAAATTCCCCACCCTATTTTCCTACCGATCGATCATTCTTTATTTGGGATCGCAGGATACTATCTCCATTTTCACGGGAGAGAGAGAGAGACTTTTGGCTTCATGCAAGCAAAGCAGCAGAAGCAGCAAAAGTCTTTCTTTTTCTCCCCGAAACTCCGCCAGAAATTAGTCTTTATGAAACTTGTTGCACCAGCGTAGCTTCTTGGAGCAGGATGCCTTGCAGGGTCCTAAAGACTCATTTCTGGAGGAGTTTGGGGGAGAGAAAGACTTTTGCTGCTTTCCTTGCCTGCAGCCAAAAGCAGAAGAAGAAAGAAGCAGCCGCATGGTCGGGCCAGGCCAGACGTGTGGGGCACGTGGGTCAAGTTTCCCCCTTCATCCTTTCCCCTCACTACCTCGTGTTCTTCACAATGCAAGCGACACAAGCCTTGTGTTCCCGCGGGCCATGTGAGCGGTGCAGCCTTGTGTTTCCACGCAGCTAGATTAATTGCTTTGGGAGGTGCTTTGGGGGTGACATTTCTCTGCAGGCCACCAAAATTTTCTCGCGGATCACCAGTGGTCCACGGCCCACAGGTTGGCGACCACTGATTTATAGTTCCTTAAATCTTGTTAAATTTAGAAATATTTACTTTTTCCAGGCATTTAGCATTTCACTAGTATGCTAGAATTTCCCAGTGATAATACCTAAGGATTTATTCGTGAGATAGTTGTTCCATTACTCTAATATATAAGTTAGCATTCTGGAGATACAAACTCATTCAAGATCGAGAGGAATTCTATGATCATGTTTCTGTCAATCTCAAACTTGCTTTTGGTCTCTGTCTCCAGCTTCTATGTTTCTATGGTTGACTGCCAGTTTCTGCTATAGAACCTTTTTTATTGAATAAATCTTCTTTCTTTTCTCTTAGTGGGTGGTATGTAGGCTTCAGGGGATTGTAGGTTCAGGTGTTGATCAGAGTTTTTTTCAGGATGTTTCACACACCCCAGTGAGGCCTTCTCATTGCAACCATTCAGAAGTGGGGATTGTCTTGTAGGATTTCTACTAGTGTTCAGACAACTATTATAGCAAACTTATTCAATCTTGCTCATCAATTAAAGTGTGGCCATTAACTGCTCCGGTCCTTTGACTTTTTCATGAAGGTTACCTACAAGCTTGCATTGGCTATAAATATATGCTTTATTAAGGCAGGAAGATTAATGTGCTATAGGAATTGTAAATCACAAATGCAGATTGCATATATTAATATTTGTTCTGGCTATTTAGGGCATCACCAGTACAAGGACTTTAATTTCTTCTGTGTTTTGTTTTCTCCTCTGATGCTTTCACTTAAGAAAAATTGTTACTGATTTTCTTGGTAAACTCTGCTGAGTCTGCTCTTCTTGGAACTAGGCTGTATTATATTCCTCATAAGAGTTTCTGGTTACTCAATAAGAAGTAATTGGTCAGTCATCCACACTGGCAATGAGCATATCTCAGTAGCTGTTGTAAAAAGAAGCCATTCAGGAGAGCACTGTTTTCATTGCTCACAGCTAAGCCCACCATCATGCAGAATACAAGACTTTGAAGTTACTTTCTTCCTCCTCCTATGGAATTCTTTTAAAAATGTCTGTTAGTCCTGTTTGTTTCCTCTTTGAGCAGAGAGTCCTGAAAACCCAAATTATTAAACATATTTTTCTGAGAGAGCTGAAAGTCTGATGCCATGTTTTTTAAAAAATATGTGATTCTTTTCTCTCTATAGATATACAGTAGATGATGTTCCTTTTTCTATCCAAGCTACCTCTGAAGTTGCTGACCTCAGTAACATTATCAACAAATTGTTGGAAGCCAAAAATGGTATGTTTATGTTTGAGATGTGGTTCCATTAATATTGATTCTAACTATCTGGGGTATTGTAAAATCAGGAATCAAAAACATACAAACAATCACATTTATTTTGGATTTATAATTATGCAGATTTAACTTTTTTTATAACTAATTGCTTCACTATAGAGTCTTCAGATTCAGCATTTTTTAATTGAACAAATTAGAAATGATTATAATCTAATCCATGCACTAGATTATAATCTGTTTTTAACAGTTGATCTCTATATGCTTTCTTTCACCAATCCATCATATGGATATGGAGTTTCCCACAGTATAGAAAATTAGATTAGGATTAAGAGATAGTGATGTCAGGCTGGATACTCCATTATATAATAGAATTTACCTATGGTTCAATGTTCATTTGCTTGAAATGAGAGCAAACATTTAAAAAAATCTTTCCCTGGATGCTTCTTTGCATAGACAAATTTTTATCTCAGCAGCTTTGGAATGAAGCCAGATTGTCTACAATAGCAACTCAGTTTTGTTCTCATTATTGTTTTTACAAAGCAATCCAGAGCAAGTAATATATTTTGTAAAGGGGTCTAGCAAAACATTTGATTGGGAAAAAACCCAAGATTCTGCATTCCATTTTATGTATATTGGTAATATTACTAGTGGTCTGGAGAGCAAACTTGTTAAAGAAAACATGGCTGTTCAAGAACAATGAAAAAGAGACTAGATCTTAGAGACTATCCATTTTCCAAATTTGCTGTTAATGTAAGTTGTAACTTATGTAACTTGATACCTTTGATTCATTTCTAGATGACCACAAATATGTGGAATTTGACTTCCTTGTTAAAGGACAGTTCTTGCGTATGCCTATGGTCAAACACATGGAAATGGAAAATATTTCAACAGTAAGCCATTTTAATGTTTTTTGAAGAAAGAGGTTGAAATTATGAATTTTTAACATTTCTCAGAAATGTATTTTGTAAAATGCAGTGCAGTTTTCTTCCTAGAAGCTGTGTGGGAGACTAATGGGTATGCTGCCTACTTATTTTTAATCTCTGCTTCATGTATTGTAGGGTTTTGAGATACATGGTATCAAACAGTATTCACTTACATTAATAGGTACATTGGTAGCCACTTCTAATGCCATTTTCTAATGATGACTTAAACTTATCAGACTTCTAAGTATATAGGTATAAGATTAATATACAGTACTACAGGTGGTCCTCAATTATTGACATCTCATTCAGTGACCACTTGGGGTTGTGATGGCATCGAATTAGTGGTACTTGTGATCAGTCCCCAAAGTTCCAGTTGTCCACAGTATCCCTGCAATCATGTGGTTGTGTTCCAGCTGCTTAGCAACCCGCCCAAATTTCAGAGCATTCCATGGTCATGTGATTGTGACTTGCAATCTTCCCTACTGGTGTTCCATAAGCAAAGTCAACAGGGAAGCCAACAGGAAGTCTAAAATGAGGTTTTTGCATAACAGTGCTAACTGGTACTGTTCCAGTGTCCTACCCATTTTAAGCAAAGACTACATGTATTTTATTTTTAAAGTATAAGATTCAGACTTATGTGAATAGGCTGAACATGCCCAGCATCAGAGTTCCTACGTGCCCATACTCAGCACCACCCGGACCTATACAAGTGTCCCCCAACTATCTGGAGCAGGGGTCGCCAACCTTTTGGACCTCAGGGACTACTAAACTCATAATTTTAGATTCCAGGGACCACTAACTGGTTCTGTGGGTGTGGCCTAATTTGTGGGTGTGGCTTGGTAGTCATGTGACTGACTGGGCATGGCTTGTATGTAAATATTATAAACATTTATATAAATATTGAATTTTTAATAAAAAAGAGCAACTTTTACCCCAAATCAGGCAAAGCAGGCAGGCAGATTGAGTTGCTTACAGAATCACAGATTCATTCAGAAATCTATCTGCCATTGGCTAGCTCAGTCTGTCACATAAAATTTGCTAGCAAGCAAACTCACAAAATTAATTCACAACACACCATGCATGTAAATATTGAATTTTTTATTTAAAAAAAGAGCAACTTTTATCCAAAATCAGGCAAAGCAGGCAGATTGAGTTGCTCTTTCTATCTGCCATCAGCTAGCTCAGCCTCTCAAATTTGCTTGCCGTGAGTCTGCAATGAATTTGCTTGCAAGCAAACCTTCAGTCCTAAGGGAGGTTCAGCTGTGCTTAGCTAGAAAGCAAGAAATCCAACCATTTCCTACTTCCTAGCTAATCTAAATCTCCCAGCACAGCAGAACAGATGATGGTCGGAAAAAGGAAAAATAGCAACTTAAGCAGACAAGTTTGCCGGGTAAGGAGTGAGTGGGTGGGGAGGGTTTCCTCAGGCCATGTGGACTGTGCAGCCTTGTGTTTCTGCACAGCCTGGATTAATTGCTTTGGGGGCGTGCTCTGGGGGTGAGATTTCTCTGCGGCCCACCAACATTTTCTCATGGGCCACCAGTGGGCTGCAGCCCACCGGTTGGCAACCGCTGATCTGGAGCATATTTGGAAGGAAGAAAAAAATCAGATATATTCCTATGTAGCTGTTAATGCTGATGGAAGACCAGTTACTGTCCCTTGTTGCAGTTCAATGGAATCAAGGGACCATATTTACAAATCAACATGCCACTGCCCATTCACTCATCTATTGCATTTGAATTTTAGAACCTGTCAATTCCATGGTGGACATTACTGAATTAGAATCAGAATAGTAGTATGAAGTTTGTACTGGTCAAAAATACAGTTAAATGTATAACCTTAAAAACAAGAAGTTGTCATTTTCTAGATAGTGATGATAAAACCTCCCAGCGCTCCTAAGCACTGGCCATGTTGATTAGGATTGATGGGATATATTTAATACAGCAACATATTTTCCATTCCTAGGAAGTGGGATTATAGACTTAATCTCTTATCTCCTAGTTTTTGTTTTATAGTACAGTAGTTGATTTTTCTTTGTTTCTTCTGTGTACAGGAAAATGTAGTAGAAATTGAATATGTAGAGAAGTATACAGCACCCCAGCCTGAAGAATGCATGCTACATGATGACTGGATCAGTTCCATTGAAGCTACAGAAGAATGGCCAGATATTTTAAAATTTGCTTTTGGCTCTTTTTGATTTCTGATACAGCTTACTGTATCACATATAAGTTTGCTTTCCTTGTAAATAGGTTACTGTGCTTTACTGTTCTAGAAGTTTTCCTTGCCCCTTTCTCTCTTCTGTGTATCAATAGTTTAGGAATGAGATGCTCATTCCATAATAGTTATATTAGTATTGTCATTGTCCCTTGCCAAAAGTTTTTAAATCCATTTTAAGATTTAATTTCTCTGAGGCACTGATGCTTCTTTCAGAAATTGTTATAATCCATCTTCCTTCCCTAAATCGGGGTTTTAGGTAAGTGATGCATTCAATGCAGGTTTATCTTACGCTAATATAAGCCAGGCAAAATAAGAAAATTTATATTAATTCATTTTTCATAAACATATAAAGCAGTGAAATTGAGCAGTGCAGTGGCCTAGAGGTAGAGCTCTTGCTGCACACTGTGAGTTTGATCCTAGATAGCAGCAGATATTTCTCTCTCTGGATGCAGTGATTAATTGTCTGCTGCGAACTCCACATAGGCATCAGGAAGGGTATCCAGCTAGGAAACGTGTGAACTTCATTTAGTTGTCCGGACTCCACTCTGATGTAAAGATTACCAGGTCATTAAAAGAAAAAAAAATGAAGCCGTGAAATTAAATGGCATCACAAATAAAGTTAAGATGGTGTTTCCAGATATACAGTTGCTAGAAAAAGTTGAGGCCTCAAGAGTAAGGATAGAAAGCTTAAATTACAATATGCTCCTTCCATTTTTTCCAGACAAATTCCCCCAAATAACTATACTGTTGCTTTAAACTGAGTGGATGCATTGGGTATGCATGTTATGTTAGTGGCTCTTTTTCTCAGAAAAGGATTGGCAAGATAAAATATTACTTTTTTTGCCATGATTTTCTGTTTTCTTTTTTCTTTGTAAATTAATGGGAGAATGAATGAGTATGGGGTGGTGTTGGTAGTAAATTTTCAGATTTGTAATAGCCAAATTCTGGCCTGACTTAAATTGTTTTTGGTACAAACCACAAATACGGAATTTCTAAACAGTGCAAATGGTGTTTGAACATTATAAACACTTTGATATGCAATTTACATAATAAACTGTAATGGTTGCTTTATGGCTATATGAACAATAAGAATTATTGGGGAATAGATATATTTTTATAGAAAAAAATGGAATGCTGGTTGCTTTGAACTATGCACAGTGTTTATAACTCATTACCAGTCACATCTTGGTATTATATTTATAAAAATATGGCTTTGCATAGAATCTGAAAGTTCTATTCAGTGGATATAATTGAATTTTTTTGAGGCAAAACTACTGTGCACACCTTTAAAAATGTTCTCTACTTCTGACTTCCATAGGATCTTGACTGGTTCCTATGATCAGACTTCCCGGATTTGGTCAGTAGAAGGCAAACCTATCATGACACTTGCTGGGCATGTAGATGTGGTAAAAGATGTAGCTTGGATTAAAAAAGGTAAATAAAATTCATTGTCTGTAGTGAAAAATAGATTTTGTAAAAAATCTTATTACAGACTTTTATTATAGTCAGCTCAGGATTTTTTGGTTACTGTTTTGAATTCTAGGTAATGGCTGTCTCTATTGTTAAATCTTCAGGTTTTTTAAAAATGCTTTCACATTTGTTAACGGAGGGTTTTGTGTTTTTTTTTTTTGAAAAAGATCTGCAGCATTCATATCTTTCACAGATTTGACTGGTCTGTGTTACTTTTGTCCTGATGTTGTTTACGTGCAGGAACAATAGTGCAAGAGGCTTCAGACTTCTGCTTACCTGAAGTCATAACATTTCTCCTGGTCTCTTGTTTTTGAGAGACAATTCATGAAACTGGGGAAGGGGGGAGCGTTTATGTTATTTAAGGCTGAGCTACATGCTATTTTAAAATGCATTAAAATGTGGCTTAATTTTTACTGTATATTTAGTGAAAGGGACCCAGCTTTAGTATAAAAGAGGGTGTTTGACTGGCTTTTATCCTTCAGCGGTGCTTCTGTCATAGATGTGGATATGTGTCTCTTAATTTACAGTGCCAGAAAGTGTTGTGTTCTTAGTAGTATAAGTTTATGCAACATTGATCCATGTTGGCATTTCAGCTAGATGCAAAGGAATATAGCAGCTGGATTCCATTAGTTTATTGAAAAGTAAAATAGAAAACAACCAGATTTTAAAGCAATAGCTAGATTTCCCTTTTAGAAACTTAGGCAACCTCTGTCTTAACAGGTTGTACTTCAAAGGCTAAGAGGTGCTTATGACCTAACAGGCAGGTTAAATGATTCTCAGAATCCCATATATTCCTATTACTATTTCAGACAGATAATGCTTATATAGGATTATTGGCTCATACAATAGTAATCGGTACTTATGGATTACGACTGATCTTTATATTCCTTAAAATGTATGTATTATATTTCCTTTAGGTATAGTGCAGTGTCCCATTTTAAATACCCTGAATCTGATTGTGGTTTTGCTGTACGGTTTTGCTTTTTTTATCCTATTACCTGATTCTGGGGTAGAGTGAATTTGGATGATTGGTTTAGGAAATGTATACAGTATTTCCATTCTTGCCTGTATTCTTCAGACAGCTTGTCATGCTTCTTGCTCACTGCCTCTATGGACCAGACTATCTTACTCTGGGAATGGAACGTGGAAAGGAACAAAGTGAGGGCTCTTCATTGCTGCAGGGGACATGCAGGAAGTGTAGAATCTGTAGCTGTGGATAGTTCAAGGACCAAAGTAAGTTATATGCCTTCCTCCTCTGCTTTCATGTTCTAAAAAGTAGACAGGTGTGTTGTACTGTAAGTACTACTGCAGTTCTTTTGAACATTCAGATCAAAACTTCATGACATGGCCTTGTCAGGCTCTGAAAACTAAGAAAGACAGATTGTGATTCTTGTGAGCTGATTTCTTTATTGCTCCTCACTTATAGACAAGAAATCTTGCCAAACAAAAGCAGACTACTTCTACCATAAATCATATATCTCAAGAACTGTTAGGGAGGACTTATCTGCACCCACTTTCTCTCACATAAACTAACTAAACTGCATTGTCTCTTGGTCTTCTGGAATGTCTTCCTACCCTCCTGGGAATCTAGGTAACATTCCATCACAGGTCTTGTAAGATGATGGCTTGCACTGGCCCTCCAATTGTTTTTAAATAACATTAGTTATAATTGCCAAGGATTTGCTTCCGAGGTTTTAATGAAATACAGATGTTTAGAGTTTGCAAAAGGGTGTGGGTTCAGGTAGGGGAAAGGATGTGTGGGTTATATATATAGTGTGATGACCCAGGTGTGGCATAAAGGCAATACAGTTACATAAGTAAGAAAAGTCCCTTTAATACCTCCAACTTTGCTCCCAATGTCCAGTTACCTTTGGCTGGAGTAAAACCTCTCCCAAGAACAGTCTTTTAAGTGGAGAAAATTCAGTCCAAAACCAAAGTACATATAAACTGTAAATAAAAATCCACACAAACCATGCTGCAGCAATTAACTGGACAGGGCAGGATAAGGAATTGCAGACTTCAAAGGCCAACAAAACACACAGTTGGGAAGATGCCAGGAACCCAGATAAGTTTCGACAAAACAAGATAATACACAATTTGTTTTCAACAAGTTGCTGTGCGAAACTCCCCTTTTAAACCCTGTTCCCAGCTGCAGCTAATGAAGGGAATCAGGGAATCCTCCCCTGTAAGCCACACAACTCACATTGTTCCCTTCTCCGTTCCTCCCTGCGTGGGCAATGTCTGGAACTAATTGGAACATCATCATCTCTGTTGCTGCAGCAACTCTACTAGGGCAAATTGGACAAATGGGGGAGAGCTGATGAGGAGGAACTTTCCCTGGATTCAGTGCAAATCTGGCTTGAACACAAGCATATGAATTTAGGCTGGAATCAGATCAGATCAGATATTTACCTTTTTATTCAAATGTTGTGCTTTTTATTAGTTTTGCAGTGGCTCCTGGGATAAAATGCTGAAGATATGGTCTGCAGGTAAGTTTTAGATTTTCCCACAGGTCACCCCTCCAACACACCAATCTTCCTAATAGTTGTGAATGTACTTCCATTGTGCAAACGTGTTTGTTGTCTACAGACAATTCAAATGCAACTTTTTAGTGATATATACACTGCTCAAAAAAATAAAGGGAACACTTAAACAACACAATGTAACTCCAAGTCAATCACACTTCTGTGAAATCAAACTGTCCCCTTAGGTAGCAACACTGATTGACAATCAATTTCACATGCTGTTGTGCAAATGGAATAGACAACAGGTGGAAAGCCTAGGCAGGTAGCAAGACATCCCCAATAAAGGAATGGCTCTGCAGGTGGTAACCACAGACCACTTCTCAGTTCCTATGCTTTCTGGCTGATGGTTTGGTCACTTTTGAATGCTGGCGGTGCTTTCACTCTAGTGGTAGCATGAGACGGAGTCTACAACCCACACAAGTGGCTCAGGTAGTGCAGCTCATCCAGGATCGCACATCAATGCGAGCTGTGGCAAGAAGGTTTGCTGTGTCTGTCAGCGTAGTGTCCAGAGCATGGAGGGGACTACCAGGAGAAAGGCCAGTACATCAGGAGACATGGAGGAGGCTGTAGGAGAGCAACAACCCAGCATCAGGACCGCTACTTCTGCCTTTGTGCAAGGAGGGACAGGAGGAGCACTGCCAGAGCTTTGCAAAATGACCTCCAGCAGGCCACAAATGTGCATGTGGCTGCTCAAACGGTCAGAAACAGACTCCATGAGGGTGGTATGAGGGCCCGACATCCACAGGTGGGGGTTGTGCTTACAGCCCAATACTGTTCAGGACATTTGGCATTTGCCAGAGAACGTCAAGATTGGCAAATTCGCCACTGGTGCCCTGTGCTCTTCACAGATGAAAGCAGGTTCACACTGAGCGCATGTGACAGACGTGACAAGGTCGGGAGATGCCGCGGAGAATGTTCTGCTGCTGGCAACATCCTCCAGCATGACCGGTTTGGCAGTGGGTCAGTAATCATGTGGGGTGGCATTTCTTTAGGGGGCCACACAGCCCTCCATGTGCTCGCCAGAGGTAGCCTGGCTGCCATTAGGTACCGAGATGAGATCCTCAGACCCCTTGTGAGACCATGTGCTGGTGCGGTTGGCCCTGGGTTCCTCCTAATGCAAGACAATGCTAGACCTCATGTGGCTGGAGTGTGTCAGCAGTTCCTGCAAGACGAAGGCATTGATGCTATGGACTGGCCCTCCCGTTCCCCAGACCTGAATCCAATTGAGCACATCTGACACATCATGTCTCGCTCCATCCACCAACGCCAAGTTGCACCACAGACTGTCCAGGAGTTGGGGGATGCGTTAGTCCAGGTGTGGGAGGAGATCCCTCAAGAGACCATCCGCCACCTCATCAGGAGCATGCCCAGTTATTGTAGGGAGGTCATACAAGCACATGGATGCCACACACACACTACTGAGCCTCGTTTTGACTTGTTTTAAGGACATTACATCAAAGTTGGATCAGCCTGTAGTGTTTTTTTCCACTTTAATTTTGAATGTAACTCCAAATCCAGACCTCCATGGGTTGCTAAATTTGATTTCCATTGATAATTTTTGTGTGAGTTTGTTGTCAGCACATTCAACTATGTAATGAACAAAGCATTTAATAAGAATATTTCATTCATTCAGATCTAGGATGTCTTATTTTTGTGTTCCCTTTATTTTTTTTAGCAGTGTATATATAGGCACATGTTGTAAAGCATATAATAAGCCAATTTCATGCTGAGAAGCCTGAATAAATGAAATTCAACTTTAGTTCCATCCCATTTAATTTCATTTATACAATAAATAAATGAAGACTAAACTTTTTCATTACAGAAGGGTTGTTAGCAATGTGGATTTCATGATTAAATATTTTTTAATTATCTGGTTAAACTCAAGACATTAGAGATAGAACATTTCTGGGCAAAACAAGTTGGTCTTTTTCAAGAGGCTGGATTTGAATTATTCTCCACATTCCATAAAGTTGAGGACAATGCATAAGAAAATGATAATAGGTAGGTTAGGTAGGTAGAAGATAGGTAGGTAGATGGATGGATGGATGAATGGATAGATAGATAAGCAGGCAGGCAGCTTAATAACATCCAAGAAAAGATCCAGATCGTTTCTCTCCTTCCATTTCCTGCAATGAGCTTTGAAAATGTGTTGAACCCCAAGAGATAAATAATAACTCATAGCTAATTTAGGCTACTTATGTTTGTTTGAGATTATGAGTGTGTCATTATTGCCCTCCCTGTTTTTGTCTTATCTCCTTTTTCATTTCAGTGCCTACTGATGAAGAGGATGAAGCAGAGATGGAGGAAGTAGTAAACAGACCAAGGAAAAAGCAAAAAACTGAGCAGCTGGGACTAACAAGAGTAAGAAAGGAATGAGTGGAATCAGACTTGGCCTGGCCGTCTTTCTTATGGACAGTTGCCAGGATTGATGACTGACCCCTCCCCCGGCCTTTACTTCAAAATGAAATTTGCTGTAGCTGCCTATTATTTTAAGACTTCCCAAAAAGCTTTATATCAAAAGTTCAATTTTCTTCCACCAGTATTTCACATGGCATGCTTATTCACAATTCACTTAAATAACTGAACTCGCAAGTAATGTAACTATAACTGAGACATGCCAAGGTTCTACTCAGCTGCCCATATACCAATATGTTCTGCTAATGCTTTCTAAAGTAACATCTCTCTCAAGCTCTTAGAAAATTCCATGTTACTTGGCAACTAGGGAAATTGTTTGGAAGTTGTCTTCTACTGGGACATTCCAGTTCACTTCCCCAATCTAGTTTTTAATTGATAATCATATTTTTCCATTTATAAGAAACCCAGTGTTACCTATTTTTTTAGTGGTCTTTATTCCTCATGTCTAGACTCCTGTTGCAACCCTCTCTGGTCATACAGAATCTGTGTCTTCCGTACTTTGGTCAGATACAGATGAAATCTGCAGTGCTTCATGGGACCACACCATTAAAATTTGGGATGTTGAAACTGGAAGCTTTAAATCCACTTTGGTAAATGCCACTTTAACATGACTTTAATTCATTTAATTTAATGTATTTTTTCCCAAAAGGGGATTTCTATAAAATGCTACATCACATTTTTTATTGTATTGTAGACAGGAAACAAAGTGTTTAATTCTATAGCCTATTCGCCACTTTGTCGGCATATAGCCTCAGGGAGCACTGACAGACACATTCGGTTATGGGATCCTCGGAGCAAAGGTGAGTAGAAGTTCAGTGCCTTGATTATTCAAGTTTAAGGTCACTCATTTACTGAGCTGAGTAATTGACTTCGCATTGTACAGAGTTCATGTACTTTGCAATGTGCTTTCTAATAAGGCTTCCGAACCAGGAGTCGCTACTCACATGTCAACTGTGGAACTGAGAAACTCTGTAATGTCTCCCTACATTGGTTATTATTCCTTGAATAATAATGTGGCATTCTTGATGTGGCAGAAAAGTAATGGCCATGTCTCACCTTCTCGGCCCCTTCTTGCAAACACAATTATAGAGGACATATTTTACATGCAGAAGATCCTAGCATTTCCGGATCAAAGAGTCAGGGTTAGAGTTGGGATGATCGGAAAGATCTCTGCCTGATTCTTTGCTACATTTCTGCTAGTCATACCATGATATGGCAGCTTCCCCTATCTCTCCTGATGGCCAATAGGTGTCTTGTTTCCATAGTTGTATCAGTATCATGACACTTTAACAATATAGTTTACATTTTGAAGGAAATTATTCAGCTCATGAGTGGCTGAGTTCTGGAATGGTGATTGCAAACAGCACAGGTTCCCCTATCATTCTCTGTATAGCTGAGATGCCATCTGTCTTCTACCCTGTGTTAGTTACTTGGCTGTAAGAATAATTTTAGGAAACAGGAGAAAGAGTGCAACCTAGACAACCGTCTGATAAGCAAAATTTTAGTCCAAAGAAGGAAGGGGGCAGAGTAATGATCTCAAAAAGGTCCCTGCCTAGTTCTCTGGAAAGTAAAGGAAGAGAAGGGAGAAATGCTTTCATACTGCAAGCTTGCAACAAAGGTAGTATTATTACTTAACATTTTTGGTTTCCTGTCTGGGCTACCTTGAAGTGACAGTGGTCACTTCAAGTTAATGTTGGCTACTGGGGACTATTGACAGATCCCTGAAATTTTCTTGGCAACATTTTTGAAAATGGTTTGATGGAATGTCTTTGTAGGGCTGTGTGATGGTATGTGGGAAACACCTTGAGTAATAGGCCAAAAAGATGCTGCCTCGGGAATGGTCAGATCTGAAAAGGCATAGCCCACAGCTGGATAGTGGGCAGAGCAAAAGACTTCTTGGACTGTAAAAGAAATGATGGGAGAATTGTACCTCCAGGCTTGCCAGAGTGATATCAGTGATATAATGGAACATGAGAATGACCATAATAAAAGGGGGCTGGGGGAGGAGAGGAATGCTACCCAGGGAATGATCAGATAAAAGGATGAGTCGTCCATAACTAAGTAATGGGCAGAGAAAGAAATTTTAAAGAGATCCACTCTTAACTATTCAGGTGATAAAAAGTAACTGTAGGAGATGTATACTTTCAGGCTTTACTGTAGCCTTAAGATAAAGTAGTTTAGCTCATCATTGTTTTTCCCCCTGTTTGGTCTACTTGGGAGGCTAATAGCAGATAGGAAAGTAACCAGATAAGGTAATTCTGCTTTACTCTAAGGCTACAGTATAACAACTATGCAAGTCTGAATGTACAAATCTGCCATCTCCTTTACTGCTCAAGAAAAAGGAGGGCTTTCCAAGTCTCTTGTCCCACCCACTATCCAGCAATGCCTTCTGTTATCTGATGTTAGCTAGGCAGCATCTCTTCTCCTTCTCTCCCAAAGTCTTTCCCACATATCATTATAGGTTGAGAACAGATCACTCAACTGGCTGAGTGCCTAAGACTAGACTAGGACTCATTTTTCCCCATCCATAGTCCAGCATCACTACACTAAATTGTCTGTCAACTTCTGCCTTAGCAAACTAAAATCAGAAACCTACAAAGGAATAAGTGTTCATATTTCTGGCTTTTTTTCCCAAAAAGACCATTACAAGCTTCTGTATCAAGTATGCATTTATCTTGATTTCTTTTAGGTAACTATAAATTGTGTGCTATATTGTACCTTGTTGCTATTGAATCTGTCTTGTTTCAGATGGCTCTCTGGTATTACTTTCTCTCACCTCACATACTGGCTGGGTAACTTCAGTGAAATGGTCTCCTACTCATGAGCAGCAACTTATCTCTGGTTCTTTAGATAACATTGTCAAACTTTGGGATATAAGAAGGTAAGCTAAAATCTGAAGTTCTCATTTGTTGCATTTTATATATGACTTCAGATTACTACCGTGTTTACCCCAAATAAGACCGGGTCTTTTTTTGGGGGGGGGGAGGCAAAATAAGCATCAGGTCTTATTTTCAGGAAATGTCTGACCCGCTTACCTTAAGATCACTGCCTCCCATGCCCCAACACCTGTTGCGCCACTGCCTGACTTCTTCTGCAGCCACTCTTGGCCATGAGCTGCATGGCTTGTTGCACCGGTGCTCACGGCAGGAGGCTGCATGTGTGTGGTGCCATTGCGACACAAGCAGCAGCACTGGGGCAGTGAGCCATACAGCGGCCTGCCATGAGCAGCAGCACTGGTGTGATGAACCACATGGCCTGCTGTGAGCGATGGCACTGGCACGATGTGCCACACAGCCTCCTGCCACAAGCAGCAACACTGGCATGATGTGCCACATGGCCTCCTGCCATGAGTGAGATGGTGCGATGAGCCATGCTGCAAGCAGAGGCACTGGTGCAACAAGCCACGCAGCATCTGGCCACCATAAGCAACCACAGAAGAAGTCAGGCAGCACGACAGGTGCCGGGGCATTGGGGGCTTGACTGTTGAGGTACTAAGGTAAGCGGGTGTGGGGTGCATGGGTCAGCCTCACCCCGCCCTATCTTGATTTTTACACATGCACCTTGTACAACCAGGCAATGGGCAGGGTTTAACGAGGGCTTATTTTGGGTAGGGCTTATATTAGGGGCAGGCATGAAAATCAGGCTAGGGCTTGTTTTTGGGGTAGGTCATATTTTCAGAAAAACATGATATATGAGATGCAAAATGAAGAACTGCAGTTTTAGGGTTTTGAAAGTTCTTGCTTTAAAATATACTCATTAGTTGATAAATACAGATACTCTTGGTAGGCCATTAGTTCTGAACATGCCTCCAAATTCTCTACCAGAAAGCATTTGCAGTACATGACATTGTAAGTTGCTCAGAGTCCGGTGACTGAGATGGCCAGCGTATAAATAAAATAAAACAAAATAAGTAAAGTGATATATTCACTTTAGCTTCTGAATAGAGCCCAACATATTTTTTAATTTGAATTTTGTACTAAATCATTTGCAAGGCTATCATACCATGCCTGTTCTTGAAAAAGCTACATGGTACATTGGGAAATTGAAAAAAAAGATCATAGAAAAGAAAATGGAATACCTATATGGACCTTATCAGGAATCAAGATTCATTTAAGTAAGATTTTTGTTTCATCTCAGATGGGTGGACAATATGTGTGTCCTAGTAGATATATATTTAAAGAAAAAGAAAATAGAGAAAGAGGAGTTGGAGACAAAATGGATTGAGAGGGAACTTTTCAACAAAGAACCATCAGAGTCACACCACATAATTAACAACACTAAAACTGGCTTTAATAATCTATATCTCATCAGTTGCAAAGCTCCTCTTTATGACCTGGCGGCTCATGAAGACAAAGTTTTCTGTGTGGAGTGGACTGAAGCTGGGGTAAGAATTGATATTTCAAGAAAGTATAGAATCTGATAAAAACTGAGAAGAGAGCTAATGTTTAACTCTGCATTATATAAAATATTCCAGGACTGTTGTCAGTATCCTCTGTTCACTTGAACATGTAAATTTGGGTGTGTAGAGAGACAGGTGACTGAACAAATATGAGACATGCAGGCACTGAATGTGGGCATTGAAAATCTTTAATTATGGAAATAGGTGCTTCTTACTTCTCTGAAGAAGGTATTACAGCCACTATCTAAACTCACAAAAGGACACTTAAAATTAATTGAACTTACTGTTAATGTTAAAAGGTACAGAAGTTAGTATTGCATATGAAAACCCACATGAATCTCACAGGAATGCATGCATATGTGTTGTGATTGGAAGGTCCAATCCTGTTAGGAACTTTGAATCTGATGACTGTTAGATCGTGGATTGACGTCAGAACCAGGGAACGTTACTCCCTTTAGTTTGATTTGATTGTGAAATGACTGTTGAATTTCAAAAGGGAATCTTAACAGGTTTGCTTGCAGTTTTGAATGAGAACGTTACTCCCTGTAGTTTGATTTGATCGTGAAATGACTGTTTGAATTTCAAAAGGGAATCCTAACAGTTTTGCTTGCAGTTTTGAATGAGAATGTTACAAGGGAGGACATTTGATTTGCAGGACCGGTCTGAACCTTCAACCTCCTCGGCTTCTCAATCAGGTTATCAGCCGGGAAGTCTTCAGGTGAAAGTAATAATTTAGATAATCGCTGGGTGGATGTCAGAAGCAGGCGTCTCCTGACGAGAAGAAACCAACGGGAGCACAGGAGGAGGGCAGATCAGTAATTAGACTAATTAGCTGCTGCTCTATAAAAGGAAGAGGGATGACTCTTCACTCTTGTCGGGAACAAATTGTCTGCAAGGAGAGCTGAAGACTTTGACTTGGAGGATTTGGGTCTGAAGTATTTTTGTTTGAATTGGATTTGTTGGAACTATTATTTTGGATTGTTTTGTGGAGGCTGGCCACAGCTGTGATCGGTGGAGACTCCTGGTTGCTGCCTGTGTTTGCGAGGACTGCTGCTTTCAGCCTTATCTGTTTATTTTTGAAGGTGGGACATAACACATATGTATAAATACCACAAAAGGGTAAAATAGCCCAGGTAGTAAAGGGGTGGAGTCAATTTTCTTAGGGCTAGGATTCCACTTGTTTTTAAAGTCAAGTAACGTGATACCTCAGATGGTTGGATCAGACATTGCAATCTATTAGGAGTGATAGTTAGATGATTTAAATCTTCAAGGGACTTAAGGCATTCCTTTTTTTCTTAATGCCTCCAAACTAGGCAGAATAAATACAATTTGTTGTTTTAGAATGAAACAGCTCCTTAAATTCTCCAAGTTTACCTCAAAGGGCTAAGATAATTTAAACCCCAGGAATCTTCTATAAAAATGAGGGGCAGTTACCATGACAGAGAAGGCCAGCTTCCTGACTCCCATCAAATGACAGTGTTTGATAGTTGGGACATAGAATGTACTTACTTTATAGGATTGTACAGGATGGGTTTGAGATAGATAATTCCTCAAACAGCAAGGTCCTATGCCATGAAAGCCTTTTTTAAATACTATTTTTATGAGAGATTATGAAAGGTTGAAATTACATTGGTACCGTGTAAGTCTGCACAGGCAGTGACCATTTAAAGTTACAATGACATTGAAAAAAGTGACATGACCATTTTTCACACTTATGACCATTGCAGCATCCCTGTGGTCACGTGATCAGAATTTAGATGCCTGGCAACTGATTCATATTTATGACAGTTTTAGTGCCTTCTGCAACTGCAGTGCCATATGATCTTCTGACAAGTAAAGGCAATGTGGAAAACAGATTCATTTAACAACTGTGTTACAAACTTAACTACAGTGATTCACTTAACTGTGGCAAGAAAATTGTAAAATGGAGCACAATTGTGGTCATAAAGGAGCTGGTATCTGAAAATGAAGTAAGTGGTAAAGCTTGTGGAACAGCAGTGTTAAACGGGCATATCACAGCATCCTCAGCATCGTTCACATTCTCTATTTTGGACTAGCTGCATTTTCCAAATGGTTTCCTGGGGCAGTCCTGTCTACAGCGCATTGCAGTAGTCATCCTATGTGGTGATTGGGGTGTGAATGACCAGTGCAAAGGCCTCCATGGCCACAGCTGTCATCTGTTCTTTGAGCATAAATTGTGAGTCTAGAAAAATTCAGATTGCCCACAAGGCCCAAATGGGGATTTGTAACCCCACTCTTCAAATATTGAAGTCACTCAGTTTTGTTAGGGTTGTGCCTGAATCTGTTCCTCTCCATTCAATCTCTTACCAAACACTTAAACAAGATTTTGACAGCATTGTTGTCAACTCCAAACCAATGGATGACTCACACACAGAAGGGGTAAAAGTGTTAAGACTTAAAACACCCCACAAGTTAGGAGCTTCAGTTTCAACCCCTCTCATCCCAGTTGATTAGAACGGTACTGCCCACAAAGAAAGGAAGAGAAGCACTTCCACACCACACTGCCCCCTCCCAATCCTTACAGACAGTCCAGAAGGACACCATGATCAACTGAAAGCCACTGAGGGATCCAGGAGAATGAGGATGGCAGCACCACTCCATCCCAACTCTGGATAATCTTTTTTCCAAAAGGGCCATCTGGAGCCTTAGCCCAGCCACTTCTTTAAAAGGACAATTGAAGACAGGATAGACACTTTCCACACTGCTGGATCCAGCAATAGCTTTTTCAAGAGAAGGTGCACTGGGCTTCCTTCAAGGCAGACTGAACCACCCTTCCTTCAAAAAGGCTGACGCTGCTGCATGGATCCAATTGCATGCCACCTCCCTAACGGCCTTGACAAGCCAGGAGGGACATGGATATCATAAACAAACAGTTGAGTTTGCGGTCCCAAGGGCCCTGTCCTCCAATCTCATCCCAGCTATTAGACATAGAAATATGTAGAATGCATTTTTCTCCAAACCAAAACAATTGAACCAAGGGGAGAAGCTGTGTTAATAAAAACTGGCTGAAGAAAAATATAGCAAACTGGAAGTGAGTTTCAACAGATCCAAAGTATTTATTTCCTTCCTTCACATTCTTACATCCGGGTTTGGTGTTTTTGTTTTTGTTTTTTGAATTGAATTTGAATTGAACTGAATTGTAATTCAGCTAATTTTGTAGAAAGATCTCTTAGCAAAATTCCCAAGCAGCTGCAGCCCCTTCACTACCCACTCTAACAAAATAAACAACCTTTTATAGAACAATTAGATAACATTTTTACTTTATAGGTTAAGCTTTACCTTTCTCCAAACTTTGCATGAATTCTTATCTTTCTGGTATTTAGATAGACCAAAGGTTACACCTTAGAATGTCCTGATTAAAAGAACATAATGTGATTTTTTTCATTTTTGCTTAAATGTAATATTAATGTGGCCATTCTACATTGCAAACTACTGTTACTCGTGTATGCATTCATTTATTTCCCACTGAAACTCCCTTCTGTTTATGATTTAACATTTAGGAATCAAACCATGATGGTTTACTTAGCAAGTCTTGTTAAACAGTCACTTCTCATGTGAAGTGAGTATGGCACAAGTGATCGTTTAACAAGACTTGCTAAATAAACCATTGATGCCTAGATTGCAGTGCTCTCTCCACGAGGGTGCCCTTAAAGATACCTAGAAGCTCCAGCTGATCCAGAATGCAGCAGTGTGGGTGGTGATAGACATGCTTTGATATGCACCTGGAACATTTCTGCTTTGTCAATTGCACTGGTTATTGATATGCTTCTGGATCCAGTTCTCCCATGGTATCAGACTGGCTGGTTTGATATAAAAGAGGTGAGGCAGGCTGAGGCCCTTCAATTAAACAGTGTAATCTCCTATGAATCAGGAAGTGTACTTTATCTGTTGTCTGTGTGGCTGCTACTCTGATCTTCCTGTGCCATATCCATCATCAGACGTTGGCGATCATGTTATGGATCCTATTTTTATCAATAGCTGCACAAAAAAGTGCTACTGAGTTTTGTCTACTCTGATGGCATCTGGAAAGCCTTAAACACCTGGCTATTCTTCCAGACCTTGCTTGGGGTATTGGGGGGTTTCTCTCAGATTCTGTGGAGGTGTGGTTAGCTAGACTCACTGTTGGTCCTTGTTTTTATTTATTTCTTATTTCTTTTATAATTATTGTATTGTACTTTCTGCACAATACTTTCTGTACTGTACACTGCCCAGAATCAATTTGGAGTTGAGTGGTTTCTATGTTGTGTTAATTATTTTTATTAAATTAAATTGATGCATTTTGTTAAAGCATGGTTAATCTAGCCAAAGTCATGATACAAAATTGAGCTGGAGTTGCATGAACAAGAAACAGAACACGACAAGGCAATTATAAATATTATTGCTTATAAAGACACTTCTTTTTCAAGTACAGAAATAGAGATTTTCCAGGGATGTACTACATTTTGAATCATGTTACTGGTTTTTTTTATCTCAATGCTTTGAAGATTTTAATCTGATGATATAATAATCAAACATGTTAATATTTTTTTCTATGTTTTTTCCATATTAGGGATAATGCTATTAGAAGAATATTTCCTGCTATTTGGAAATTATTGAGAAACAAAAGTCATGGTGATTTTTTATTATTTAAATAATACAGTTTTCGTGGACTTTGTTACCTTGCATTTTATCCCCTTTGTTGGAAAGATAATTAGTTTATAATAGAGACTTATTATAATTTGATCCTCTCCTCCTCTGTTATAGTTGCTGCTGAGTGGTGGAGCAGACAACAAACTGTATTGCTACAGATACCAAGCAACCACTTCAGATATTGGAGCATGAAAGTGAGTGAAAGCGCAGTTGAAGCAAAAACTCTTCCCCTAGAATCTACAGCTACCTTGTTTACCACATATGTAGAAAATGGGTTGTTTAATAGCTAGTCAAATCATGGGCTAGATCCAGTGGTGGGATTCTTTTTTTTTTACTACCGGTTCTGTGGGTGTGGCTTGGTGGGCGTGGCAGGGGAAGGATACTGTAAAATCTCCAGTCTGGTTTTCTGAACTACTCAAAATTTCCGCTACCGGTTCTCTAGATCTGGTCAGAATGCCACATCTGGCTAGATCCCAAAGTTCTTGTGAGTTCAACACTGTCTTTTAAAGAGGTGATGTTTGTCCATTCCATCTTTCTTTTCTCATTAGACTCATTGCTAATTTCCCAGAACAGTGTGGGAAGTGACCTAAGGGTTATCAATGACGAATTGGTAAAATTTCATTTCTTCTCCCTCTAGGGAGGACTTTGCTGGATCTACATCACATATATGAACAGAAAGTGGCCTGCTATTTGTAGAAGGGATGTTCTGGAGCCAGTCAAATATGTATTCTTGTGGCATGCAGCAAAATTTATTACCTTGTCTTTCTTCAGGATTGAAATTGCTGTCCTTGTATTTAAAGCTTTTTTTAGTGTACATATATGAACTGTACAAAAGAAATTAACCACTTAAACATGATATTGGATTTTAGTATAGTATTTATGTCATTTAATCTTATTTTGTGCAACTGTATTTAAATGTTTCAGTTCATTATAATTTTCAGCTTTCCAAACCATTTGAGAAAAAATGTCCTTATATTGGAAATTTGTTTAAATTTGGCTAATGGTAATTCTATAAAATGTATGTTTTTGAGTATTTTTAATTAAATAAATACATTTACCTTTGAGAAGAGATTGTAAGATGCAATCCATGGTTATTTGGGGCAGGGGGAAGGAGAAGCCTCAGCTTCCATTTCAGCAGAGTTACGAGGAGCAACTGGAATCAGGACATTGTCAATCTTGTGTTGTAATGACAAGGCAGTCGAGTTATTTGATCATGAACAACTGAATCATGATAATCTTTATTGGAGTCTAGTCTTGCATTTATACACATTTTTAGTTATCCTCCATCACTGGTTAACTTTGGTTACTGCTTAACTTTGGTTACTGTTTAGCACAGTAATCCATACAATTAATTATCTCAAGTTAAAGTCTAACATATGTTTACTTCCTCTCTCTAATCCTCCTTTAGATTAGTGACTTTGTTTACCTGAGTTGTATTTGCTTGGAAACATTCTTTGTCTGAGGTTTGCCATCTGAGATTGGAACATTCCTGCAATTACAACTCTACAATCTTGCTCTTGGTTAAGACATTTCCTATTGATAGCTCCAAATTCTTCACTAGTATATTTGTTCTGTCTTTAGACTGCTGGCTGAATATAAAGACAGACAGACAACTCTACAAAGGCTTCCATACAAAGTTTCTTTATTGGGTCACCAGGCATCCTCAAATATAACTCATGGTTATGTTGAGAGCCATCTAATGTCCAATTCTTTGCATAGCTGACTTCATAGTGTAAAAGAATAGTGATCTTTCATCCCATAATGAAGGAGCAAGGGGATGAGGCACCAGGCAAGAGTGAAGGAACCTCCCCCAACCCAACCAAGCGTCAATTCAGTGACCAATCAGGATTACAGATGTGATCATATGACATGAAGTACATTTCCCAGGATGCATTAACTACATTTACCATGAGGCATTCCCTTAAGGGAACAGCTTCCAATTCTAACTTAACTATCTCAATTCCCATTACCTATATACTGTCTGGACAGCACACTCCTCACCTAGAATTATAAATTCCACTACTAACTAACTAACTATCAATTAACTATATAACTAAGATAAACAGTAATATAGCATCAAACAAAGCAAAGCATGCAAAGCTTGAGGTTCAATCTTCAAGTTCAGCCTTTCTCCGCAACATCACTAGGTCAGTGACCAGTCTGGTGTAGAGCTTCTTGGTGAAAGTCTGCTGGTTGCTTCTGGCGGCCTTGTAGGGTGGACAGGTACTCTTGCTTCCAACAGTTCCAAGGGGTGTTGGCAAGCTTTTGGGATAGATGTTGTGAAGACATTTGCCTGGGATGGGGCCTGCAGCTGATTGATGCAGACCATCCCTGTGATTCCCCATCCTAGCACTGTCTTGAAGGCAAATGGGGAGCCTTTGGGGCCTTTGACTACTTCATTGTGAATGAAAACATCAGGTACATCTACTCCCAACAAAAGCAGAATCTTGGCTACTGGATCTAGAGCAGGAAAGTGATGAGCCATGTGCTTCAGGTGAGGGATGTTGCTTGCTACCTCTGATGTTGCAATCTGGCTGTGGTCATCTGGTATCCCATCCCATTCTAACACAGGTGGCCGTGGGAACCGGGAACTTCCATCTAATGACGCCATACAGAGTCCAGTAGCTCTCCCCGCCATGCTTTGTGGTACGGTGTACATTAATATTGTGAAGAGCACTTCTTCCTTTTGAACAGCAAAGAGGTTGAAGAATGCGGATCTGGACAGCGTGCAAGTGCTCTGATTATCCACTATTACACACACCTTCACTGCTTCTTCTGGGCATCCATCAGGGTAGACGTTGCCTAACCAGATCTGATGACATGAATGAATGGATAGTGTGTTGTCGCACACTGCCATGCAATTGAAACTCATCACTGGCTTCGGGGTTGCCTCTGTAGCACGCTGGGGCTCCTTGGCTAAGGGAGGTTTATGAGTTGTCTGCTGTGGTGGCTCAGAGTCTGGATGCAGAGCAGCTGAGTGCTTGTTGCTGTCAGCATCCTCGTAGGCATGGAGTTCTGGCTCGATGGCATGTTGTACACAGTTCATGGTTCTCGGTACTTTATGAGGTCGTGATCTGTTTGTAAGGCATCCAGAAAGTATCCATGATATCAATCACTCCGAGACATTTTCTTTCCAATTGATTTATTTAGAAACAGATCTGGCATGTCAAAGGCAATTTCCCAAAGTGAAATTATTTTCGCGTGTTACACAGAATCCACCTCTCCTCCCACTTCTACATTTCATAAATCACGAGAACCAATTAACTGCAACTAGAATTTCTAAATACGACATACAGAATAACCTTGAACTTTTCAACTCCTCCACCCCCCCTCCATGAAATGTGACAGCTGAATTTTAAAAATGATAGATGTCCCCCCTTGAAAACTCCTAAAAGAAAAGGAAAAAAAACATACATGGGTTAACACATTGTCCTTAACCCCCTCTCCCCCCTCCACGAAGACCGTTTGGTTTGTGGGGAAAATTCTCATGGAATTGATTAACCAATTGTTCAGCATGAACATCCCAACTCTTTACCCAACTAGCATCTGAGAGGGGGTATCCTTTCCATAAGACCAAATATTGCAATCAGTCACGGTGTAATCTAGAATCGAGAATTTTTTGAATTTCATAATGTGTTTCCCCCTGTACCATTAATGGTTTAGGGGGAGCGATTGGCAGTGGTCTTATCATTGATGAAGTAGCTGGTTTCAGTAAACTACAGTGGAACACCGGATGAATTTTCCCCAACAGTTGAGGAAGACTTAATTGGACAGTGACTGGATTGATTATTTTTGAAATTGGAAACGGACCCAAGAATTTTGGACCCAGCTTCTTACTGGGCAGTTTCAACCTAAGATACTTGGTCAGCAAATATACTTTGTCCCCTACTTTAAAGGGAGGTTGAAGGGAATCTACATTTATCCACCTGTTTTTTAATTTTTTGCAGCTTCGTTCAAAGCTTTTTTTTTGTATCTCCCCACCCTTTCTTTAATGAGTTCATCCATTCTGTTAGGGACATGGATGAGGAAGGTTGTCTAGGTAATTCTGGCATCGGGACAAAATCCATTCCGGTGCTGATTTGGAATGGAGTCAATCCCATGCTGCTATGTACTGCATTATTGTAAGCAACCTCTGCAAAAGGTAATAACTCAGTCCAATTTTCTTGTTGATTATTTACATAGCATCTAATGTGTTATTCAATCATGGCGTTAGTCCTCTCCGCTGCTCCGTTTCAAGCAGGATGGAAAGCTGAGGATAACCCTTGAGAGGAACCAATGGATTTCAGAAATTCCCTCCAAAATTTTGCAGTAAATTGTACCCCTCTGTCTGATATTACTCTACGCGGTCCTCCATGTAGTCTATAGATATGTTTTGTAACAGCTTTGTAAATTTTGTGACAGCTTTGTAAATTTTTTCACAGATGGAAGTCCTTTGCAGGCTATAAAATGGGCCTGTTTAGAGAATAAATCAATTATAGTCCAAATGATCGTATTATTCCCTTCACTCTTGGGTAGTTCAACAATAAAGTCCATTGCGATTTCTTCCCAAGGTTGGGTTGGTTCAGCGACTTGTTGCAGGAGGCCAGGGGTTTTCCAGTTCTGTATTTCATTGTGGCACAAATTGAACAACTTTTTACATAGTCCTCAACATCAGATTTCATTTTTGGCCACCAGAACTGTCTTCTCAGTTAATGTAGGGTTTTTAGGAATCCGAAGTGGCCTCCCAGCCGGGAGTCGTGGCTATGCTTTAGTACCAGTAGTCTTAGGGTTGCTGGTACATAAAGCTTAGTCCCTTTCCAAGCTAGTCCATCATTCATTGTCAACTCGGTTTGATGGTCCAGGAACCAAGGATCGGTCAATAGGGCCATTTTCAATTCCACAGTCAGCTTATCTTCCAGGCATTTGGGGTTGCGGTTGGCTTGGGCTTGAGTGGTCATTTGGCCTGCCAATTGAGCTTCTGAAATTAAGGCTTGTACTATTTCCTCTCGGTGGCTGCCAAACTGAGGTTTTCTGGACAGAACGTCCACCAGTATGTTTTTCCCTCCAGGGATATATTTAATGTTGAAATTGAATTGCTTGAAATATTGGGCCCAGCGGACTTGTTTGGATGATAATCTCCTAGGGGTCTTTAGAGCCTCGAGGTTCTTATGATCAGTCCATACCTCAAAGGCCTCTGGCACCCCTTCTAGAAAATGCCTCCAAGTCAACAAAGCCCATCGTACAGCGAATGCTTCTTTCTCCCAGACCGCCCACCTTCGCTCTGTCTCTCAGCTTTTTAGACATATAAGCGCAAAAATAATTTCACTTTGGGAAATTACCTTTGACATGCCAGATCTATTTGTAAATAAATCAATTGGAGAGAAAATCTCTCAGAGTGATTGATATCATGGATATCATTTATTTTCCAAAGTCTTCTTTTATTTTTTGAAGGGGCTAATACCCCAGAGTTGATACCCCAGAGTTCTTTTCCCAGAGATGGAGAAAGATCAACAATTAGCAGAAGTTGGAGATGTGCCGGGGGGAGCTTGTGGGGACCCTCCCTCCAGAGCATTAATTGAACCTGCCAGCCCTTATTTGGAGGAGATGATGGATGCTTTCAGGATGGCAGTAGGAGAAAGAGATTTGGAGCTATACCGAAGTGTTTCAACTCAAGAAGTTGTTATAACCCAGATGTAACCCAGCTGTCTGGAGAGAAATCTTTTTCTAGCCCCAGGCATATTGCTATCCTGCCAGATTGGAGGGAAAAGAGACAATTGGGGTCGGAATTATACCAAGAAGACACCCCCAAGATTTATCTTGGAAGTCCATCAAGGGCAGATTTACATCAACAGTTCCAGAATTTAAAGGTGACAGGTTTGGTCTCACAGTCTGTTTGGACGGGTGGAAGCTTGAGACCACCCATATTCACTTACCCAAGTATCATGAGGAACGAGGAGATTATACAGACGCCAGTAGGTGGAAGCCAGAAAGAAGCATCAACTGAAGAGGTATGTTGTAGCCTCCGAGGATATCCCCTCATTTTCCAGGACTTTTGCCCCCTGCAATTTTATCCAGGCCAGGGTGGATTCAAT